GCTAAAGAGGCCAGAATGCCACCCCGCCCCCGACTCCTGTATTTTTGCTGAAGAGCAGAGAATTCTGCAGAACTGTTCCTAAATGGAGAAGAATCTACCTCTTGATTTCTCCAGAGGGATGGTAAGCCGTTCCATCCCAGCCAGTCTCAATTTCTATGAAGGGACATAAGGCAAACAATCCCTTAGGCAGATAAGCCTTCTTATTTAGGGCTTAAACCATGAACTCTAACTGCTGAATAAAAGCCACCCAAGTGCAGATCATGGAGCACAGTTTAGAGGCAAACTTATCTCTTTTCTGTCATGTGATGCAGGTCATTTTCACAATTACATACAAGATTTTGATTTGTCTACACACTTGCAGACGGGTTTCTGTTCACTATCTTCAGAAAATCGTGGCTCATATCCTACGCTCCTCTATAGCATGAGTGGCAATGACTTTTGCCATTGAAAGCCCTGGAGGAATCAGGATGTTGCATTCTGCATTAGCTGTAAATTATTTTATTTAATAAATACTGATTTGCTATTAAACATACAAGTAACAAAAGTTTTTCCACACACATCCCTGGGCTTCCTGAACAAGAGCTTGAACTTTTCAAACATATAACAAGGTACAAACACCAAGTGGGTAATTTTAAGGCAGAACGTTCCCACATATTTCATAGTTTCATGTTTATATATAGCAAGTCATGTCAGACACAGCCAAAGGCAACATGACCCTGAAAAGCTCTCCTCACTTGAGTAATCTCTATTCACAGGAGGAGATGCACTGAAATCATGCACAATCCTTACTCACATAAATAGTTTTGCTGAACAAAGCTCTAAATGATACTCCCTTTTCTCTGCCAAACTGAGAATATGTAACCTTGGCATATGAGTGGCCTTCAAGGATAGCTCCAGATAAATCATTTAATATAGTGCAATAGCACTCAGTCAGGGATCAAGGCCCCAGCATGTTAGTCAGACTACAGAGTAAAACACAATCCCTGCCCTGAGTTTACAATCTAAGGCCCCAATCCTATAAACACTTATGTATGTGCTGACCTTTACTCACATGAGTAGTTTCATTAACCCCCAATGGACATGGACTGCATTCCACGTGACTCTGCACAATGAGGTCTGTTAGTCTGTGAGGTTATAAGACACCTGAGGTGTGCTTTGAGGTGTGAGATAAACTCCTGAATGCCTTCAAGTCTGAGTGTAGTAATCCCAAGAAATGCAGCACGTGGAGTGACTTACTGCAGCTGCTGCATCAAATGGAAAAGAAGTCTCCACGTTAAAAAAAACTATGTTGGTGGTTGTGCAGATTGTTGATTTGCTAAAAGTCCCTGGTACAGATGGAACAAAAAAACATAACAGGAGAAAACTGTGCCACCAAAGGACTTGATTCTGCAGGCTCACACTGTACCCATTACTCATGTGAGCGCGGATGTGTAGGGTCAGGTCCAAAATTAACCAAACCAGGTCTTTACAAACTAGTGTTGCCTCTGAATTGCCCTTCAGTACTGAAAATTATACTTATATAGATTATAAATACACCCTCCACACACACACAAAGGAGTTTTACTTTAGGGCTGTGGTTCTCAACCTATTTACCATTGTGAACCACTTATGCAGCCAACAACGTCTTACGTGGGCCACATCCAATACTACCTGTATGGTTCTGAGGATGTCACATGGGCCGCAGCTCTGTGCTGATTGGCTGTACGCAGCACGTGGGCCACTGGTTGAGAAGCCCTGCTTTAGAGGGTGCTTTTTATCCTATCCCCACCTTAGAACACTATGGGCCAAATGGTGCCCTAAATACACTGGCACCTGTTGAGAGGTGGGGCAGAGCCTCCCTGAGCAGCCTGCCGTGCAGACGGGCTTCCCAGGCTACCAGAATACAAACTGCCCCTCCCATTGCACCCAGCATGTTGTTCTGGGTTGAGCTGTGGCTTCACCTCCTTCTTAACCCCCTTCCCTTCCCACTTTTGGGCAATGTGTAAGAAAAGGGTGGGGCTCTACACGGTCCCTTCCCCCCCTTTTTTTGCCAGTGGGCACAGAGGGGTCAGTCACAAGTGCCCAGAGGTTGCAACTATGCACTGGAGAAGCTTTCTGCATGCCTTTCAAAGGCCAGTCACAATCAAGCCTCACACTGCACAACACAAAACGATGGGAGAAACAGCATTGTACACTGGTTAGGTTAAACTCTTCTACTGCATCCAAACAAAATCCTTCTCCCGTCCAGTGGAGCCACTCATCTGTGTAAGCCAAACAGGACATTGCCCTTAGTTAATCATAGCAGTGATTACCTAAGGGTAGGCTATTTATTACGGTATTAATGAGTAGCTGACATTAATGTTGAGAAAACTCTCCCAGCTAATTCCCATGATACGCCCGTGTCGTGAACATTGTTATTTACCTTCTGAAATAATTGACTTATGAATTTCCCCGCTCCCCCCACCCTCATTTCTATCTGTGAAGTCTGCTTTATTTTAGGGTGTATGATTTATCAAACCGATCCTGAAGCTTTTCCCGTATGTACAGATCCAGCTTTATTTTTGATCATTTGTTGTCTGCTACCTCATCCTCCTTTGCATAGTTCTCTCTGAATAGTTTGAATACAATTATTTTATTATTTTGAACTATCTGGGCATAAACTGAGGATCAAAGATACCATGCCCATATACTGAGAATCCCCAAACAACTGATGTCAACCCAGACACCCTATTTCCCTTGAAAGGCCACCATTACTCTGAAATATACAAACGACAATACCAGTAGTATTGGGCCATTCTTCCACGCGAAGCAACTTGCCCTGAGAATTTTCATCAGGGCGAAGATGCCAATTCTATTCTAAATAATTACATGTTAAATAAAGTCATTTTAAATTGCACGTAATATTGCACTGGGTGTGTTCATCTTCAAAAGAAAGGAAGCACAAGGGTTCTGTTGATGTAAAGTCAATGGAGCTATGTGCATTTACACTAGCTGGGAACCTGGCCCCAAAATTTTCAGATGTCAAGCACATAGCTCATTAAGAATTATTTTCATAACAAAGGGTGTCTAAGTCATTTGCTTCAAGTTTCTGTCTCCGTACCAGTGAACAGTACGTCTATTGTTCTGCATGCAACTAGGGTAAAAAGCATCGGGCTCATTTGAGTAACTGGGCTAGTAAGAGGCATGGGTAGAGAAATGTACAGTACCACCACTATTAAGGTCTCAATCCTGCAGTCTTTACTCAGGCAAAGCTCCCACCGAAGTCCATGCTATCCTCAGCAGTGCCTGTGCACACCCATTAAGGGCAATGTGGCTGCACAGATGTCACTGAGGGCAGAATTTGGTCTGCAGAATCTTAATTACTGGAGATGATGCACATGGAGGAAAGAACCCAGCTAGACTCTCAGACTCCATGTAGAGTTGGCAGGACTGACAGAAAAAACCCCGAATATTTTTACCCTTGTAAACTGAAAAAACTGGATCTAGAGCTCATGGAGCCACAAATATAAATACAAACACTGTCACCCCAGGTCAGACCTGGTTCTTCTAGTCCAGTATCGTGTCTCAGAAACATACTTCTGATGGAGATGCCAGCATCTCTGCAATGGAAAATTATAGAATAATCTAGCCACAAGGAATCTTTCTTCCTAACTCATTCAACTACTAATAGGCTTAGGCTCTGAAGCATGAGGGTTTGTATCCCTTATATTTATATAAAAAAGTCACCTCTGAAATAACTATGGCTGTTGTCATAATCCATATAAATGTCTATATCTTGTACTAAGTTATTGTCCTCAGGTATATAGTAGTGGGGAGTTCCATATGCACTATGGAAAAAAATTATGTACTATTTAAATGATACACATCACCACGTTGGGCGTTTTCATCTTCAAACAAACAAGGTGTCTTATAATTTCTCTTATGTTTTCAACCAGTTTTCCTGGTGCTAAAACAAGGCCCCCCAGTCTATAATTCCCAAGATCGCTCCTAAGCCTATTTCTAAAGTAGGGACATTATTCACTGGTCTTCATTCCTTGAGTATAGGACATCCACTGACTTCAAAAGGCCTTGTATCAAGCCCCACGAGAGCAAAACTACACTCCCAGTACTGATTATTTTTGAAAGAACATAAGAACGGCCATAGTGGGTCAGACCAATGGTCCATGTAGCCCGGTATCCTGTCTTCCAAAAGTGGCCAGTGCCAGATGTTCCAGAGGGAATGAACAGAAAAGGGCAATTGCAAGGGATCCATCCCCCATCATCCAGTCCCAGCTTCTGTCAAGTTTGTTGAAAATACACCATGGGCCTGAGTCACAAGTGTGGTGCACTGGCTCAGAACTCGAGTAATGCAATCCTGAGCAAATCCCTGCATGTGTCCATTTTGCAAGTGTGTGTAATGGGATATGAAAATATCAGTTCAGGAATTAATACCAGAACTACTCATTACTCGTCTATTTTCAAATTTTAACTAATAGGAGTGATGCCATCTATCTCTCTGAAGGATGATGCTTTCCTTCTGAGTGTCCCGTAGCACTGGATAAGGACATCCCAATAGAGGACTTATCCTGCTTGCAATTTACCCTGTTCTTTTTTAAAAAAATCCTAATAAGAGAAAGATAAATAAAACACTACTTTCCCTTAGATGAGTCTTGCCCTGTGTCCAATAATATGGCAGCATAAAGCTGTAGCCAATGGTGCCTATGTTTATAAATTTTAAAGGATGCATTGTTTAATGGAACTAGAGTCTGTACACACTGGTAAATCAGAGCCTGATCCTTTCAGGAGTCTAGAATCTTGGTGTGGCTCAGCCTCTTAGAAGATTAAGCCCTTAACTACAGGGAAACTACACAGTTGTACAAAGGAAAAAAATAAAGTTTTGCTCCAATTTTATCATAATTGAGGGGCATTAAATAAGGGTAACATGATTCTGCCTTCAAAAAGGAGCCTCTGCTTTTAAACCCTTTCTGAACTTCGATGCAAAGAAAGGCACGAATTAATTTAAGACGCCATTTCTAACGCACGGGCTTTTCCCATGAAATTCTTCTTAAATGGCATCATGAAGTCTTCAAAGTCCACCTCATAAGTAAAGCGCTCACGATGCAATTCCCGCTTTCTTATTAGACTAGCTGTTGTCGCTTCCGGGGTCCAAGTCTGGAAAACAAAGGTAAATACAATTGTAATAATTAAGCATCAGTATGTTCTAATTAACGAATAATGCTTATGCAATTGTCTCAACATTTTTGATATAGTTTTTTTTTAAAAATTAGAATCAATATCAGACAGACAAACTATTGGCTATCTAGTTGAATATTTGCTTTATCAGCTGGGAGATCTGTGATTTGAATCCTGAAACTCACCCTGATATTACATTACTTCCAGCCAATTGAGGGTGGAATTTTTACAAACACCTAAGGAAGTTAGACACCTAACTTTCATGGACTTCCAGTGGGAATTGGAATTCACTTATAAGCTCTGGAAAATCCTATCCTGTGTCCCTTAGACACTTTTAAAAATCCCACCCTAAAAATAGTCTGTATAGTTACAAAACCTCTTCCTCATTCAGTAAAATATTAGTGCCCATGGGACGGCACATCCAGCATTGCTTCCTGCTTCCATACCTGGCACAACCAAATAGCTTTCCCTGCTAAAAGACGTCATAGTGACAGAGAGTTCCCCAACGTAATTTCCAAACGTCTTTAATAGCTGCAGGGAAGCATATGCCACAGGCTCTTTACCATTGTCACTTGACAACGAATATCTGATATAGAAAAAAATGGATGTCCAGCACTCCTGCTGAATAGCCACTGATGGCATCAGAATCGGCAGCTCTGTGTGACAAAGGAGGCCACAGGCCTTTATTGCACATAGCACATTGTAAATGAGGACAAACGTTTACAAACATGCTTTGAAAAAGGACTGGGGCCTGACTGTTCTTTCAGTTTGCATGTGCAACGCCCACAGCTTTCACCTGCAACTGATGGATTAATAGGGGTCCTGGTGTGTATCTTACCTGTTAATTGTTACAGTAATACAGGGACTGTCATTCTGGATCTGAACAGTGACCCATCAAGTCCAGTATCCTGTCATCAACAGTGGCCAGCACCAGCTACTTCAGAGGAAGGTGCAGTCATGGGGTAACTTGCCCAAAGGGAAAGTTTCCTCCTAAGCCCCATCAGTTAGAAGTCAACTTATGCCTGAAGCATAAGAGTTTACGCCTTTAAAGGTGTTATTTATTTTTAACATACATTTAATATAGTTACAGTTGTAACTATGGATCCACATTAAATGTCTAATCCCTTTTTTGAATCCTGTTATGATTTTGACCTCAGTGGCATCATGTGGCAATGAGTTCCACAGGCTAATTGGAATTTCTTTAATTTCAACAGTACATATCTTGAAGGAGAGAATGACTCAGAAAAAAAAAATCAGTTGTCTTCAGCAAGGTCTTTTCCGCAATGATTATTGTTTATAACAGGAAAGGCAAATAAATTAATAACATAACTGACAAGTAAGTAGAAAGACTCCTTAGAATGGATTTAAGCCAGACAAATGACAGCCCTGCTCTTCTAAAGGTACTCGCCCCTCTGTCTCCAAAGCAGCCGTTCTTATAGCTCTTCCCCTTAATAGCTGTAGAAGAGGTGAGGAAAGCTGATCTGGAGTTAACCCCTGGTACACTAGGATCATCCTTACACCCTGATACAACTTCATTGTCAACATTGTAAAGCATCTTTCTCAGAGAGAAACCACCTGAATTTTTACAAGGTTGTTGCTCTTTGATCAACTGATTTGTAATAAAAATACTGAAGGCTATTAATTTCTAGAGTCAGAACAAAATGATTTATCTTAAGCGGAGCAAGCAAAGTGACACTAGTTATGAAAGCCACGTTTCCAAACATGCAAACAAAAGTTGTATATTTTTGATATTTCTGAATATATTGGGTCAGATTCTCTGCTGGTGTTAATGGGTTCAGCTCTACTGAATTGACTTTGACTTCAATCAAGCTGTAGATATTTACACCAGCAGAGAATACAGGTCTATTGTCATATTCATTTCAGTGTCAAAATGCAGCAGTATCGAAGCTCTGCTAATATACTTACTTTTCTGGGTATGAATGTGATATCAACTTTCTTAGTAGCACCACTGGTTATTAAAGAATTCAGATGAATAACATTGTCCTTAAAGGATTCTTTCTTTTCTTCAAAAATAGATTTTTCTGCGATTGGTGGAGGTGGCTGCAAAAGTTTAAGCACAAGACAAATATGTCACCCTTTCAAACACCATTCATACTAGTTGTTGTAGGATATTTCTTTTACCAGCCAGCCAGACAGATGTGTGTGTGTATCCATTCTAGAAAGATTCTATTATTGAATCATGTAAAAAAAAAAGGTTTAAGCATTTATATTGGAAATAAAAACGAGGGAAGCATTTTAAGAATCAGGCGAGTGGATGCAGTTCTTGGGAATTTACAGATGAAACATTCACATTTGCAAAAGAATTGGTTGACAAGTTTAGAAAGCTTGATGCTTTTTCCATGTATCACAAGTATTAACTAGCAAGCCTGTAAAGAAAAAGCCTGTAGGGCATCTACACCAAAGGGCTAAACCAGAGTTTGACTTCTAGTCTCAGTCACATTCTCCCTAGGTTGTCAAGGGCAGGATTATTGTAAGGAAAGCACTTTTAGTCCCGGAGGGAATAATTGCATTGCGTCTCTAAATAGCATCCCCTAGGGCTGATTAAGAAGCAGCACTGATAAACTCCGAAGAAAGTCACAACTGAAAATGCCATAACTATGATGAAGCTGCTAAGGCCGGTGTTAGAATGTGTATTGGGGGAAAAGATCAAGTACTCAAGGCTCTGGCTGGGGTGCAGAGAACACACCAGGGAAAAGAACACTCAGAACAGAGGCAGGGTTTGAAAAATATAACTCAAATAGTTCAACATCTGAAGAGGCGGAATTCGTGATAATTGCAGACTCACGACTGGGAGAAAAGTCAAGGGGCTTTATCCAAAGCCCACTTAACTCAATAGAAGTCTTCCATTGAGACTTTGAGGGCTTTGGGTCAGGCCCCATATGCCGGATGTAACAAGGTCTCCTTTTAACATATCACAATCATGATGACAGTAAAGATTATATGAGGGAAAAGGACATTTCTCTACCTTGTGTTTAGGTACCACAGAACACACAATCCCTGGAATATCACACACCAAGCAGGTCAGTGGGCAACCCTGCACTAAAATAATTACCCAATCCACAGTTTTAGCTGATGAATGAGTATGACACGAGTTCAAAGCAGCAGGAGAGTGTCATTCAGAAACCACATGTTGCAAAGTATCGACTTTAAACAAAGTAAATACTCTTGGTCAAGTGCTACAATAATACATTTAGATGCCCATGACTAGGATAGCGATTATGTTCCTTGCACGTTCTCAGTGGCCAGATCTGTGGATACAGCCAAGGCCACGAAAGCACCAGAGGGTTCTGGGTACTGACTGTGCAGCTTAGCAGAAAGGAAGGCTGAAGTTGTGGGTAAAGGTCTGACTCTGATGATCTGGGTTCTGTTCGTGGCTCTGACACAGACTTCCTGTGTGACCTTTGGAAAGACACCTAACATTTTAGATTGAAAGCTCTTTGGGACAGGGAACGTCTTTTTGTTCGGTGTCTGTGCAATACCTCGCATAATGGGATCCTGCTCCATAACTGGCGCTACTAGGGATACAGTAATACAAATAATAAACTCTGTGTCTGAGTCCCGCTATCTACAATGCTCTCCACTCTCATGGTCCATGCTGCCAGGCTCTTGCTCCCTCCAGAATTGTTTACCCCGGCCCTGAAGCAAACTGTAACTATTCCTGTTCTAGTTTGAAGATCAGGCAGAATGCTTCCCACAGCTCCTGCTAGGCCAAAGGGATTGCACTAAAGAGCTGCAGCTAAATACTGACAATTGATCTCTTCTTCTGTTACGTTCTCCAGATCTGTGAGGTCCAGACTGCCCCTCAATCACTATGTCCGGTTGGTATAAACCTCCAGCACACCCTCTCATCATAGGTCAGCTCAGAAGCATGCAGACTTTACGAAGAACTAAATTCCAACCCAATCCAGCCCGCACCACCACCAAAATTGCATTTTGGAAAGTCTGATCTTTAATTTCCTTATCTTGTGCTGAATCTGCCGGGATAGTAAATAAGGGTATTGCAAAACTTTTTTTAAAAATGGAGTCACGTTGGCAAAAAGTGACTTTCATGATGCCTTTCAGGTAGCGGATGTCACAGGAGTACCTGACGGGGCACTGGTAACCGTGAGAAGAGCGCTGCTAAGCAGGAGTTCAGGGACCAGAGAAACAAAATAGCAAGCTCAAGTTACCGTGGAGATGAAATGGTCCTTATACCATTTGGCTGGGTGCATGCCACACGTGCTATAGTTAATATGAAAATAGCACCTAGAGGCCTATGTGACGGGCACTGTCCCTGCCCCCAAAGAGTTTACAGCTAAATAGAGAAGGGGAGGGGGGAATGCCCAAGATCATACAAGGAAGCCTGAGTTAGGAGATGGGGGTTCAATCCCCGATACCCAATGCCTTAATCCTTTCTCACAGTCACCGGTTATAGGGCTAGCGTGGTTTGCGTAAGTATTTTGTAGAGCATCTTTATAGCTTTTGTCTGGAAAATAAATGAAGAAAACAAGCATCTTAGTAACTGTTGGCAAATCAAATCACCTCCTTGGCTGTATTTCATTACCCCCTGCTATCTATCATACCTCCTCCTTTGCAGCTTCAGCCTCCCCCTGCTTGGGCTTAGCAGCTGATTTAGGCTTGCCAGGTTTCTTCCCTTTATCTGCTTTGGTTTCTGGTGGTTTTGGCAAACGGTCCAGTTTTTGTTGAAGCAGGTCAATTAGTCTAAAGTCAGCGTACGCCTTTGCAATGTCCAAAGTATTTTGGCCTTTTTAAAAAAGAAAAAGCAAAAGCAAAGTTCACAATAAGAATCACTGTCAGTAGCTGTATCAGCCATGACAATAAACGGTGGCATTGATCACCATAATGACACTGCAATTCACTGAACTCAGTTACAGCTCAAGCCTCCTAACCATGAAACACATGAGTTGTGCTCACTCATGTTATCAGCCTTGCCGACATCAATGGGAATACTTGCAGGAGTAGACACTATTTTTGTGACTAAGGGTTTTCAGGATCAAGCCCCTAAACTGTGTTTCACATGTATTCTTTGGTTGGTCATTTTGCTTGTAATAGTTTTTGACATTTGTTGTTTATATTTGAACTCTTGTAGAAGCGAATTCAGCAAGATGATGACTTTACTTGGAGGCACTCAACACCTCCCAGGAAGCGGTCAGCATATTGCAGAGCCAGGGCTTTAAAACAGGCTAGAGTAGATCTCCACCTCTTTTAGGGCCCTCAGTGGAACACCATCATTTTAAAAGTTATTCCTCTGTAGCAAAACTCAGTGGAGCTGAGCACCTGCAATTCCCAGTGAACTCAGTGGGTATTACAAGGCTCTGGCCTAGAACTGGATGGGGAATGGTTTTGGGGCCACACAAAAATTTCTAGGATTTAAAAAAAAATTTCCAGTTTAACACAGGGGAAAAAAACCCTGAAATCTTTAGAATTTGTTCCTTTTTTTTTTGAAAAATCAGAGAGACACCCCTCCCCACATCCAAGAACAGCTTATAGTCTGGTAGGTAGGACTCTCCACCGGGATGTGAGAAAGACAGTGACTTGAACCCCCATCCCAAGTGAGCACCCTAACCACCAACCTATTTGCGGGAGCCAGAGAAAGAGGGGGTGCACACACACCTTGACCAGATAGTGCCCCATGGACCTGAGAAACCTTCCCATGCAAGCTTCATTGAAACTGACCCTTTCTTGCAAAAAGTTTCACTTTTGACAAAACTATGTTTTTGGACAAGCTATGTTTCCCAAATCAGCTCTGCTGACGGCCCTCTGGATCAAGCATTTCATCCCCTCATAGATGCTCCCATGTCTTTAAAAAAAGAAACCTACAAGATTAAAATGTTCAGTGACAGAAATAAAAGTTTTCATTTTAAATGATGCCAGCTACATGAATCACATATAATCATTGTTTTAGTTGAACAGCTGCTGTGCGTCTCAACCCCAGGAATAAAGCCACACTTGCCAACAATTTTGACATTTCACGTAATCATACCTTATAGAAAGTATTAAAACGTTTCATAATAGTTTAAAAACAAACAAACCCTAAATGTGCACTATAGCTGATGAAGGGAATGGTTTGTTTAACAATTAGAAAGGGCTAGTATGAGAAGTTTTCCCCCACTACTTACAACTGTTTGCCCACAGTGGTGTGATTAGAACAGAGCAGAAGATACATATACAGAGTCAGATTTTCAAAAGAGCTCAGCTCCCAGTTGCAGACCTAAATAAGGGCCAGATTTCCAGATTGCTCAGCACCCGGCAATTCAAATGCTCTTTTGAAAATCCAACTACTTATTTAGGCATTGGATGCTGGGCTATTTTGAAAAACTGGCCCACAATGAAGTTTACAGCTGAAGCAAGTTTTTCCTCTTTTATTCAAAACAAACATGTCCCCTTACTATTACTTAAACAGCATGGATTAAAGAGCACTTTAAGCCCCCTTCGTGGTGTTGGGATTTTGGTCTGGTTGGCGGGTAATGCAGCCTCCAGCACAATGTAGAGTGGCCTCCAGGGCTGCTCTTAACTACAGCAGCCTGCAACCTGGAGTTGTCCAGAATCCCTTTAGAGGAATGAGCTATGAAGTCTCCCTTCTTGCCCCAGCATATCTTCTATGCCAAGGCTTCTAAGGGGACCTGTGTAGAGCTACTGACCTTCACCAGAAGAATTGTCCTGTATCCCTTTTCTGGCCACTGCATGGTGACATAACAGTGCATAGGGGCTGGAGTACAGGTGCAGAATTCCTTCCCTGGAGTTTGCCAACTGAGGTCAATGGGGACAAGACTGCATCAATAAATACCAGCAGCTGGCCAAAACACCCAGCCAATATATTTTTAATTTAATAACATTTATTTTACTGGGAATAGTTTCTGATGCATGACATCTATTGGACACCTCTGCAAACTGAAGTTAATAAGACTCTCCCACTACATCATGTGAAAACCAAGGAAACTAACAGAGCTGCACGAGATTCCTGTCTCTACTGCTACTACAAGGTAATAACTTCTGTATAAATTCAGATAATTTTTGTTGTCATTTTTGCTAACACAGAATAATATTTATCCAACTGCTAAACAGGAAGAAGCACATCAAACAAGTGCCACATACAGAATTAAAAGTAAAAACACAATGGCTATTATAGATGGGTCACAATTAAAACCTTTACAATTTTGCTTTACATAACTAGCATTACCTCACTATAGTACTCACTAATAACCATTTGCAAACCAAGGGAGCCATTACAGTCCTAGCAGAGTTGTTTTCAATGACACTATTTCACTGCAAAAAACTTTGTTAACCTAGAGTTAAGCTTGAATTTTTACATAAAGAATAAATCAAAACAAAAAAAACCCCAAAACTCTTGAGACCCACTTTTTTCAAAAGGCACAAAATGATAGAAATCCTGAACAGAATGTAACATAATGCCACTATATAAATCCATGGTATGGCCACACAGCATGCAGTTCTGGTTACCTCATCTCCCAAAAGGTACATTAGAATTAGAAATGGTGCAGAGAAGGACAACGAAAATTATGAGGGGCATGGAACATTTTCCATACAAGGAGAAATTAAAAAAACTGGGATTATTCAGTTTAGAAAAGAGATGACTAAGTGACATGACAGAGGTCTATAAATCACAAGTAGTATGGAGAAAGTGAATGGGGAAGTGCTATTTACCCCTTCACGTAACGTAAGAATGAAATTCACTCAATGACATTAATAGGCAGCAGGTTTAAAACAAATGCACGCACAAGACACAGTCAACCTATGGTTCTCGTTGCCAGGAGTTGTGAAGGCCAAAAGTATAGTGGGGTTCAAAAAGAATGAGAGAAGTTCATGGAGGATAGGTCCAGCAATGGCTGTTAGGCAAGATGGTCAGTGACAGAACCCCATGCTCCAGCATCTGGCATTGGCCATTATCAGAGACAGGATACAGGGCTAGATGGACAACTGGTCTGACCCCGTATGGCCGTTCTTAATGTTCTTAAAATGTGGGTTCCACGTAGTAAAAACTGAACCCCTAAACACTGGAAAATAGGAACACGCCCACTAAATTTACTAAGACAACTTTAACTCTCTCCCCAGAGCACCATGCTGACAACCACCAGAAATATAGTACAGCCAGATCCTCAAAGAACATACCACTTCATTTTACTTCTTTTACAATACGATCCACTGTCTCAACAAAGCTTATGTGTAACTGAGAAAAACTCCAAACCCTCTCCTGCCTTTTTAATCGAAAGTGACCACAAATAATTTGGATATTTACCTTTTCTGTTTTCCATCTGGACTTTCGCACCAGAATCAATTAAATATTGCACTGAGTCCAATCTACAGCTCTCAATAGCTCTCATCAGTGGGGTGGCACTGTTGATTGTAACTGCATCTATCGCTGCTCCATACTTCACAAGCAGTTCAGCAATGTCCTGTTGACCTGCATGGCAGGCATGGTGCAGAGGAGTCCACTTGAAATTGTCAGTTGCGTTTACATCAGCCCTGTAAATAAATAAAACATAAGAACATATGAATGGCCATAATGAGTCAGACCAATGGTCCATCTAGCCCAGTGTCCTGCCTTCTGACAGTGGCTGGTACCAGATACTTCAGAGGGAATGAACAGAACAGGGCAATTATCAAGTGACATCCCCTGTCATCTAACCCCAGCTTCAAACTGTTTCACCTCTAGGGACACCCAGAGCATGGGGTTGTGTCCCTGACCACCTTGGCTAATAGCCATTGATGGATCTGTCCTCCATGAACTTCTCTAATAAAGAGGTACTGTGTACATATAAAGATGAATACAACTACTGTATCTAGATTGATTGTTTCACAGTTCCAGGTCCAGTAAACATTAAATGCATGACGTTACTTTTTAAATGTAAGAAGCCTTTTCATGGGTTTTCATCTCTCTGTCATACAGCTTTGAAATATTTTAAAATACCTGACGTGGCTTATCATGGAACTAAATGAATTTTCGGAGTTCGTATGGCTGATGACCACTTAGCTAACTAAGAGCAACAAAAATGATTAAAGGTCTAGAAAACATGACCTATGAGGGAAGATTGAAAGAAATTGGGTTTGTTTAGTCTGGAAAAGAGAAGACTGAGAAGGGGACATGATAGCAGTTTTCAAGTACATAAAAGGTTATTACAAGGAGGAGGGAGAAAAATTGTTCTTCTTAACCTCTGAGGATAGAACAAGAAGCAATGGGCTTAAATTGCAGCAAGGGAGGTTTAGGTTGGACATTAGGAAAAACATCCTAACTATTGGGGTGCTTAAGCAGTGGGAATAAATTGCCTAGGGAGTTTGTGGACCCTCCATCACTGGAGATTTTTAAGAGATTAGACAAACACCTGTCACGAATGGTCCAGATAATACTTAGTCCTGCCATAACTGCAGGGGACTGGACTAGATGACCTCTTGAGCTCCCTTCCAATCCTATGATTCCCATCTTGGAACAGCTGTATGGTGCCTACTCACATTACTGCAAGAATGCTTCCGTAAGGAGGGGAACAATAGGGTTGTAAATGATTCATGTCACGAATCAAACATATCATTTTTATACTGCTGCCACTACTGTGCTCTGGCTTCCACTTGGGCCCCCTGGTGTGATCTTCTAACCCTTATGGCTATGTTTTATGTTCTTTAACAAAAGATCAGCATCCTCAGATTCTTCTTACCAGAACAATTCAGGCTGACTGTCACTTTAAAATCCGCCCTGAGTTAACGGGCTGCATGCTGCTCTGCTGCTTCAGAAGCAATGATCCAGGGGACAGGAATCTGCCACTGATCTAGACCAGGGATCGGCAACCTTTGGCACGCGACCTGTCAGGGAAATCCGCTGGCGGGCCGGGATGGTTTGTTCACCTGCAGCGTCTGCAGGTTCGGCCGATCGCGGCTCCCACTGGCTGCAGTTCGCCACTCCAGGCCAATGGGGGCTGCAGGAAGCGGCGTGGGCCGAGGGATGTCTAAGGGCATGCCTTCACAGCCCAGTTAGCTCAAGTGATAACTCAAATGTTACTCTTTCCTCAACTCCTATCCACTCACAAAAATCTCTTGGTCAAGTTAAATGGTGCTTTAAACTCTAGCCCATCAGGGGTGGAGTGTGGGTTTAAACTCAAGTGATGCTGAGGCTGGAGCTAGTAATGCTGGGGGGATGCAATGGCGTGACTTACAGTAACTCATCACCCGATCATCCACTCACACTGCGTCACTGCGGTGTTGTTTTGCAGTGTGGTTGCTCTCACTGGGGCTAGGTTAGCAGGAGTACAGTAACTTTAGCTCACTGATGCAGTGAAGACAAGCCCTAAGGGACAGGCCACAATAGATGTGAGGCAGAAACTCTTCCAGGTGTGCGCTCTAGATTCTGGTTACATCATTTATTTCAGTTCCCCTCCCACTTTAACATTTTCATCTGTTGAATGTTCTTCCACAGCCCAAAGAATTAAAGCCTATGGACTCCAAACAGGGATGACAATGAAGAGAGACATGAAAGAGAAGCTCATCCAATTATCAGATCATTTCCTTGGATTTTCTTTAGATTTTTCTCAATCTTTTTTTTTTTTTTAAAGTCAGTGCACCCAATTTTATTTTGAAATAGTTACATTCTATAAGGGATGTGGCCAAGTAGTTTACTACCCAGATTTCACCATACTTTAACGGATGCATATTGTAAAATCAAATAATACTCATATTTTAACACTAAACAGACTCTCTGATTATAAATTGCCAGACCTCTGGCATAAATCAGTGTAGCTCTCCTGAAACTAGAGTATCTATGCTGATTTATACAAGCTGATGATCCAACACTGCATACCTGTACAGCTTTAGGTTAGAAAATTACAGTATTTCTTTAATTATTCAGAGCTAGAAAGATTGATATTAAAAACTTCACACTGGTGTAATCGGGGGACGTTTTCAGTATTGTTTATCTAGTTTATCCTACATAGCAGTACAGCAATGATGGCATGACAGAAGTGAAATGTGCAACTTGAGAGAAAGCATAAGAGTTAGGCTCACAGAAAGAAAATAAATATTTTATTTTACTACAGAACAGAAATAATCAATGTTGCTGCAATATTGTTGACATAGCTGCTTCATAAAATGTGACCCGAATAGCCATCCTGATTATGCCGTTACACTTTCTACATCTTATATTCAGACTTTTCCCTCTGTCTTCCATATTCCCTTCTGGTTAATTTCATATTTTTAATATTTCTCCATTCATATTTTTTGCATTTGCTTTTTATTTTACTCACTCTTTTTTTTTTTTACTTTGTGGAAATGAAAATTTACATGCAAAGAACTGAATTAACAAAAGTGCAGTGGTCTGAAAGACTGTCTCCAGTCCAAGGCAATTAGATCCAGGGATGCAGACACCTGTGCGCAAGCAGGACACTGCTGAAGTTAATGAGGCCCTGCAGGCATGCAGGGGTCCATCCGGGCAGGACCAGGACCCAGCTGATTGTGGTACACTTCCCTCAGGTGGAGCTCAGAACAGGAGGGGCCCCATCAGCCACTTCTCCTGACTTATCACTTCACCAAGGTTCCTTCACAGTTATCAAAGGGGAGAACGATGCTCCCTCCTGTTTTCAAACAAGCCACAAGCTCTTCCCATAATCCTCCCCAAGTCTGCTGCGTCTCAGAAGCCCCACTGAATGGGTTTACAAGGAGTAAAAGACCACTGAGGGGTTCTTCCCCAACCCCTTCCACACACACACACACATACATATACACACGCCCCAGCTACATCAGCTTCATTGTATCTGGGACTGTCCCATAGAGGTACAATGTGGAAATTGTTGAACTGGAGCATCCATTAGAACATTAGTCCAGGAGCCAATACCAGATGCTTCGCAGGAAGATGCAAGAAACCCCACAGTTATAAGATGTTTCAGGATAAGTTTCTTCTTAACCCGCTCTGGCCAAAAGCTGACTTATGCCCTGAAACACAAGGGTTTGCATTCCATCCACACGTCTTTTAAATTCTTTATTAATGTAGTCCTGGATGTTCTTGTAATCTATATAAATGTCTAATCTTTTTTAAAATCCTGCTGAAGTCTTGCTCTCAGTGACATCTTGGCAATAAGTTCCACCGGCTAATTGAGTGTTATTTGTTTACCAGTTTTAAAATTTGCTGGCTTTCAGTGTCATTGGATAACTCTTGATCTTGCATAAGAAAGGGCGAGGGGAGAGAAGTGCTCTATCATCTCCATACCATACATTATTTTATACATCACTATCATTTCCTATTCATCTCCTTTCTGGAGTAAATGATCCACAATCCTTCCAGTCTCTCTTCATATGCATTATTTTCCATGCCTGCCATTATTCTCTCCATCTGTTCACTGAACCCCCTCCGCTTCTATTTTATCCTTTTAGGGACAAGCTGATCAGATCTGAACAGAGTATTCCAGGGGAGAGCATAACATTGATTTACATAGGACTTGCATGTTAGCACTGTTTCTTGCTGTATTTTTTTTTTTTATCAAACTGATTTATAATACTGCTCCAGCAAAACTGTGCAAATAAACCACAGCACACACTGCCGATTTATGGTCAAACTGCACCATTTTTTATAACCTTAGATGAACATATAGAACACTTTGTATTCCACTCGATATGGTTTGTTGAAAGACCGTATTGTAAAAGGGAGCCCAGAAAGATTCCCATAGCAATATTTTCACCATGTACTGAAATTCTATCTTGCCAAAAGGTGCAAAGCTAACATTTACTATGGCACTTTACCTCTGAATTTCCTGTTTTTGTCTGTTTAAAATCCCAAAATTAACATTGCTTTACCATGTTACAAGGTCCAAATGTTAAACATAAGGGGCAAAATTTATCCTAGATGTAACTCCATTGAACTCAATGGAGGTTTGATAAAGTCAGTAAAGATTAATTGGCCCAATAAGCATAACCACTAGACTCCAAGAATGCACAGGCTTAAACATGTACGTAACTTTACAAATGTCCCATGAATGTTAGTGGGACTGCTGAAATGCACTAAGTTGCATGAGTTTAAGTCTCTTCAGGCTTGGGGCCTGTAGGCAGTGTAGGCCTTACTGGAGCCCTACACACAACTAACAGTAAGAACCAAAGGAAGCCTGGTCTTGGCAAAATTTCAATGCACCAGGTATTAGCTAACACCAAGTAAGCACATTCCAGGCCTGAGAGGATGATACAGAAACACCCAGAGTTCTCAAGTAATTGCATGAACACATTCCCAGGCAATGGCTGAGAGACAGACAGACCCCTCATAAGATATTGAGGGAATGACAGGATAATGGATGAGGATTTTTTGTTAGAACTAGCAGGTGCAAGGTAGAAGAAAAGAATGAAAAGCATATGGAATGTAACATTTAACGTCTTTATATCAATGTATAAAAGGAGAAGACATAGAAGGGGCATCTTTATGCTGGCCTACGGGACCAGATCCTAATGTCCTGGTTAAGCTGGTACCATTGTCACAGGCATACATATATTAGCGTACCTGTAGCTCCTACGGGGCACTGGAACTGTGCTTTGTCGACATCTAACCTGGCTGAGCACCTTCAGCATTGAACCGAGCCCATGGTCTTTGTGAACAACATCGAGGTCTGCTGAATCAGCAAGCTGCTGGTGAAGCTGATGGATACAGGAGCACCTACCAGCTTCAACAAGGCTTCACTAACAACAGAGCCTAAGACTATAAGTAACTGCTCACCCTTGGAAATGGGAATTGCTATATGTAGAGAGTAATGCTAAGGTAAATATCATTGTCTTTCAAATTAAAAAAAATAAAGGGTTTTTAAAAACCCATCGCACTTGTGGGTTTTTTGCATATAACACAACATTCTGCTCTTTTGTTCTCCTCGTTGAACAGACACCTTGTCGTGCCCTGGTAGAGCCCGACAGTCATTCAGATAAATGCCTAAGGGAACATCTTCCAAATTACTTGAATGAATCGTTAACTATCATTCAAAATAAAAATCCTACCTTTTATTATTTAGATTTCCCAAGTGTGTCTGCTGACTACAATCTGCCGCAGAACTTTTAAAGTGGTGAATATATTAGATAGCAGTGTCTGACTACAGCCTTAAGCCTAATCTACTCAGCACATGTGTCAGCCTGCTGTGGTTGTAGAAAGGAAGTACAGTAATGCTTTTATGCACCAGTCTCAATTCACACCTTTGTCTCTAAAGGCAGTGGGAATCAGGAGATCTAGGATGTATTCCCAATTCTGCCACAGACTGCTCGTGTGACCTTGGGCCAGTCACTTAGGCCAACATTTTCAAAAAGCATCCTCTAATTTTGAGTGCCTCCGTTTTGGAATGCCCAATTTGGGACACGCTGAGGTGGATTTTCAGAGGTGCACTGGCAGATCCCATTGACTTCAACTGGATATTTAGGTATCCGGCACTTCTGAAAGACCAAAAGCTCAGACCCCCCCCCAAATTAGCAAACACTTTGAAAACATTGGCTTTAACCAACTTTGAAGATCACCTTTAAGTGCTTCTGCTTCCCCATCTTCAAAAACAAGGATCATCATAACAATACCCTACCTCATGGGCGTTATGAAGCTAAATTCATTATTGCTTGCAATGCTTTGATTGTACAGTGATAAACACTAAGCAAATTCTTTAAAATAAAGTTAAATATCTCCAAGTTTTCTTCTTTTGTGTCTAAGTGACTATCAAATATATACACTGCAAAAACAACCCTCCTCACAAAAACTTACCCCTTCTCTAGAAGATATTTCACAGCATCCATGTTTCCACTTCCACATGCCGCCATCAGAGGAGTTTTATAATATACATCTCTAATGTCCACTGGTATCCCCTCTTCAAATGCTTTTTTCAGCGACACAATGTCTCCTTCTTTAGTAAGATAGTTAATCTTGGTGTAAGTCTTCTCTGGCTCATCAATGTACCACGCAGAGTCATCCTGCAAAGGATGTTCAGGGGGGTGATCCCGATGAAAGCGGTTACCATCGGTCACATTCTGATAGGTCTCAATCATGTACATAGGGGGCCCGCCATCTGTTCGGCGTGGGCACAAGCTCTCTGGAATGACGCAGATGGGCATGGGGATGGAGAATTTGCCTTTCTTGCCTTTTCCTTTCTTCCCTTTCTTCTTTTTGGGTCCAAAAGACGAAATGAGATAGGCTTTTTGCAAGTATTTGGAACCTTTAAAGAACTCTTCAATGTTAATTCCCCCAGCACGAGACTTATCATGTGCCTGGGCAACGGTTTGTATTAGTTCAGCATCCACAAAATCACACTTCTCCTGAATAATTGATGCAAAATCATCTTTGCTTATTGTTCCGTCACCTCTGTCCACAACCTCAAATGCCTCACGAAGGGCTGTCTGATGTTCTAAGGACCAATCGTGCAACCTCATCGCAAAGCGTGGATTGGCTTCCTTCGCTCCAGGTTTGGTGATTTTAGCATGGAGTCGTTCAATTTTGCGCAGTTCCTTTGATGCTGCTTTAAAGCCACCTTCTTTGGCAGTCATTCTTGGGGTTTTTGTTAGTAGGTTCTTCCATTTAGGATCACAGCCTAAACATACAGACATTGTTTTACTGAAAAAACAAGATGGTGTATAAAACTAGCTGAGTCTTAATTCAGATTTGCAGCCAACTGCTGCAGATAATTATTAACACAGGTCTACAATTTTATACTGTCTGGGATCTAAACAGAACTATTAAATTGCACTTTTTAACTAGGGAATGGGATAGTTATTATACACAAATACACAAAAACTACACTGAAAGATTTTATTTAAACCAATAAAAGAAGTCATGAAGAGCAGAGCTAAGCTTGAAATATTATTTCTAACTCACCATTCTGTACCCAAGAATTGCAGTTTGGCTATGTGTGGTGCCATTCCTTAAAATGTTTGTACCTCATGAACACAGCATGAAGAGATTTTGCAGGTTCATGTGATGACAGTGAAATTCCAGGGGTGACACTGAATTTGATTTTAGTCAGCATGACCACAGCTTCTTTGAGGCCAAATCCAATGCCCACAGAGATTAAGGGGAGTCATTCCGTTCACTTCAGTAGGCTCTGGATCAGGCCCTTTAAGTGATACAATGATTATTTTCCTTTGAAATGTAAAGGGTCCAAAGCAGCTGTGGACACTCACTTCTGAAAGAATTAAATCCATCCCAATGCTAATGGAATATTGTTCCCACCTGTGTATGCCTAAATACTTAGCCCAGTGTTGTTTTAAATGACTCAAATCTATTGAGCATCCACTGCCTCCCTTGAGAATTATTCTACAGGCTCACAGCCACACGGTTAGGAAAATTTTCCTGACAATCTATATTTATCAGTGGATTAAATACTCATTACTAGTGCAACTGTGACAGTCCTGGAAAGTTAAATCCTCCATTTATAGAGAAGTGAAATCCTGTATTTAGCACAGAAGACAAGCAAAGATTTGTATGATCTATGTAAATACACATTTTTTGTTTACCTCTTTGCCCTATAAATTTGCAGCAATCCGCAAAGCCCCCAGCAGCAGCGTAATGAAGTGGCGTGTTTCCATTCATAGCAATGAGCCCCACATCTCCATTATAAGCTGAAATAATTCTTAGGATCTAGAAAAGCAAAGTCAATGCCATTAAAAACCCTGCACCAAAATGACTAGAGTTTGTGGGTTTTAAAAAAAAAAAAAATTGAAATTAGGGCTGTCAATTAATCACAGTTAACTCAAGCAATTAACTCAAAACGGATTAATTCGATGAAAAAATTAATTGTGATTAATTGTAGGTTTCATTGCACGGTTACACAATAATAGAATACCAATTTAAATTTATTAATTTTGTTTTTCTACATTTTCAAATATATTGATTTCAGTTACAATGCAGAATACAAAGTGTACAGTGCTCACTTTATATTATTTTTATTACAAATATTTGCACTGTAAAAAAGATAAAAAATAGTATTTTTCAATTCACCTCATTCAAGTACAGTAGTGCGATCTCTTAATCGTGAAAGTGCAACTGACAAATGTAGATTTTTTGTTACATAACTCCACTCAAAAACAAAACAATGTAAAACTTATTTGAGCCTACAAGTCCACTCAGTCCTACTTCTTGTTTGTCTTAGTGACTGGCTGAACAAGTCTGTTTACATTTACGGGAGATAATGCTGCCCGCTCCTTATTTACAACGTCACCTGAAAGTGAGAACAGGCGTTTGCATGGCACTGTTGTAGCCGGCATTGCAAGGTATTTACGTGCCAGATATGCTAAACATTTGTATGCTCCTTCATGCTTTGACTTGTACACTGCACTATCTTTTGTTTTATCTTTTTTACAGTGCAAATATTTGTAATCAAAAATAATAATATAAAGTGAACACTTCACACTTTGTATTCTGTGTTGTATCTGAAATCAATATATTTGAAAATGTAGGACATCCACAAATATTTATAATACATTTACATTAGTATTCTATTATTGTGTAACAGTGCGATTAAAATGGCGATTAATCACAATTAATTTTTGTAATCGTTTGACAGCCCTAATTGAAATATTGTGTAATCCATACCCACGCTGTGCAGCTCTCTGTCCCTCTCCACTGATTAGTCTACATACAAAAGTTTATGAGGTTGCTACAGTTATGTGGTTCCTTGGCCAGGCAGTAGGAACTTGTGTTTTTAAATCCAGAGTGCCCACTTTCAATCCCTATTACCATCAACCCATCCAAGGCTGTTGTGTTTTAAGAAGCACAGATAGATAGAACAATACTGTGATAGATAGAACAATACTGCTACAGTAAGTGACCTAGATCCAAACAACAGGGTACTAATGGGGTGGGCATTGCCTCCAGGCTTCTCTATAGGAGAAATGTAGGGATCTTTGGGGTAGGAATGGGGGCAGGAGGATAGTTGCTGCTGATCAGTTCCCCCACCTCTGTTGAAATTAGAGGGGGCAAATCCATAGCTGTCCTCATCGTGTCTTAGAGACAACAGGGAAGAAAAGAAGCCGCTCCCCCGTCACTGGGCATCTACAAGCAACACCTCCTTTGTGAGACACAGCCAGGACACACAGCCTTGTGAGACCCCTCCGCCCTGGTGGGCCCACCCACATAAGACATAAGTAGGAACGTGTATTTATAGGTACCTCACAGAAAACTGTTGCAGATTTATAAGAGAAATACCATAATTTCTAAATCCCCTTTGATGGTTTAATAGAAGCCATTCATGAATAATGATTTCTCTGATTAATCAGCAAAGCTGCTTGTCTTGGGGGGAAGGAAAACCGGCTGAGTAGCTTTGAAGTTAAAGTTTCAGTACTATCAACAAAAATACCTCAAAAAAGCCTCCTTTGGCGGCAAAATGTGCAGCATTGTGTCTTTCGTTGTCAAATATGTTAACATCTCCGCCTCTTTCCAGTATGCCACGCACCATCTCTATTACTCCCTCTCTTGCCGCTTCCATTAAGGCCGTGCGACCAGTAGCCTGTAAATTAAACAGCTGTGTTTTATGTTCGTTTTCGTGTTAGACAGTCAAAGTCAGCATCACAAGGGAATAGAAGAACTGAAGGTCTGCTTTATGCATCATCAAGAAGCAAAGAAGGGTGGGTGCAAGCCCAATAATTTCAAAAGTCTTCTGCAGGTCACCTTTAAGAACCTAATTCTACAGTTTTTAAAACACATGAGCGAGTCCCACTGTCTTCTCTTGAGTAAAAGCTACACGATCAAGCCGCATAAGCCCAAACCTAGAAGTAACTACGTGTGTAGTTTTACTCAAGTGAGTAGTCCCTGTGAAGTCAATGTGCCTTCTCACTTGAGTAAAATTATGCAGCAACATGTTTATGGGCTCGGCCCCTAGATATTCAGAAGACCTCAGCTCAGCCATTTGGGTACTTCAATGAAGTGCTCCTCAGCCAGCAACTGACGTTCCCATACACTCAAAGTGCTTGTTGGATCTTGCTTAAGAGGACCACAACTGTGGACACAGACTTAAAACAGAGTACCATTGTTTTTCCATGTCACAGATGTCCTAGAGAGGGACACGGGACCATAGGCTCCTCTAGCCCAGTGGTTCTCAACCTGGGGGTATGCAAAAGTCTTCCGGGGGTACATCAACTCCCCTAGCCATTTGCCTAGTTTTACAACAGGCTACAGAAAAAGCACAAGCGAAGTCAGTACAAACTACAATTTCATACAGACAATGGCTTGTTTATACTGCTCTATAGACTAGACACTGAAATGGAAGTACAATATTTATATTCCAATTGATTTGTTTTATAATTATATGGTAAAAATGAGAAAGTCAGCAATTTTTCAGTAATAGTGAGCTGTGACACATTTGTGTTTTTATGTCTGATTTTGTAAGCAAGCAGTTTTTAAGTGAGGTGGAACTTGGGGGTATGCAAGACAAATCAGACTCCTGGAAAGGGGACAATAGTCTGGAAAGGTTGAGAGCAACTGTTCTAGCCAATACCAAGAACTTTTTGCAAAATGTGCCTGAAAACCACTGGTGCTAGATGTGTCCATGTGGTAACATGGACGTGCAAGGGAAGACTGATTCAGTGCACCAGCTCTGTTAAGGAGGAGCAATCAGCACAGCTGGGACAGTGGTTTATTAGAAGATGGCAGGGTTTTGGGAATTCCACCAGTAGTATTATATCCCCAAGCAAAACTAGCATATGCTAGTACAAACATCAAATTTATGCATGACATCTATATGCATTTAGTTACAACAGAATATACACTCTTAGGAATGTCTGGCTTTAGGAGACCCAGAGACCTTTCCTTATACAAAGCACAGGGGTGGCCAACCTGAGCCTGAGAAGGAGCCAGAATTTACCAATGTACATTGCCAAAGAGCCACAGTAAAATGTCAGCAGCCCGTCATCAGCTCCCACCCTCCAGCTCCCAGCGCCGCCCGCCCACCAGCAGCCTCACCCCCTCTCTCCCTGCACCTCCCGATCAGCTGTTTTGTGGCATGCAGGAGGCTCTGTGGGGGAGGGGGGAGGAGTGAGGCACGGCAGGCTCAGGGAAGGGGGCTGGAAGAGGTGGAGTGGGGGCAGGGCCTGTGGCAGAGCCAGGGGCTGAGCAGTGAGCACCCCCCGGCACACTGGAAAGTTGGCACCTGTAGCTCCAGCCCCGGAGTCGGTGCCTACACAAGGAGCCGCATCTTAACTTCTGAAGAGCCGCACGTGGCTCCGGAGCCGCAGGTTGGCCACCCCTGCCTGACATAGCATATCTTCTTAGATAGTCAGTGGCACATGCTCTGCCCCTTACTTGCTACAGCAGGCCCACATGTTGGAGTGTGGCTTTATGCTGGATTTCCAGTGAAATAACCACAGGATAGTGCGGTACATGAAGGATTTATTCATGCACGGGGCTATACACCAATCCCAGTGTATACTGCAGAATTACTTGGATCACGTCCTTTCTGCATAGCTGCCTGCACATTTTGTCTCTTTCAAATGTGTTTATGTGAATAGGAAACATAGTCTAGAATTATTAAGACATTGTGCTGTTGTTCTTTACACCCCAGAGGCAGCCACATTTCAGTGGAGTCTATATATATATATATATACAGTTTGTGAAGCACTCTAATATAAGAGATGCTCCAGCCATGTAAAGTATTATTAGCTAACCAGAGGTGGAGGAAATAGAATCTCCTTCCCCTTGGTATCACCGTGGACATGCAAGCCAGGCAGTGCGACTCTCTTCCTTTGAAAACTATTCTGTACAAGCTGGGGCCAAACAGTGCGTCACAGTGAATAGGAAACTATTTGTCCTAGGGAGTGGTGAAGATACTGACTGAGCAGAAAATAATTCCCTACGGCTAAGCTCTGATATTAAAATGTTCCTCATTGCCCATCACTGTTAGGAGGAGGTGCCAGGGATTCTTTTATCTTATTAAAAAAAATTCAGTTTTGCATTGCTTTTTGACCCAATAAAAACAAGCAGATTAACTCAATAATTAACAAGTAAAGAAATGTGATTGTTCATACGTTATTCTGGTCTGTTTTGAAGGGTATATTTGGGGAAAGGGATGGAAGTATAGATGCTGTATTGCTGGTAAGTGGCTGGAGTGATTATGCTTGTGCAAATTCCAGGCAGGCTGAATGTGTCTTGTGGGGCGCAGGGAGTTTACTGTGGAGAAATGCTGCTAAGAGTTTTTTTTGGGGGGGTGCATAGCCTACAAGTCCCTGTTCCAGCTTCAATCCACCAGAGGGTACTAAGGGAGAGTGGGGAAATAGCCCTAAGGCGTACCCTGTGGAGCGTCATCTGTTGCACTAACACCCTCCTTTCTTTGTACTCTGGAGCTCAAATCACCCACAATCAGTAAAGCCATTTCAGGTGGAGGCCCCCACAGTTTAATAAAAGAGGTGAAGCTGGAAGGGCACTCTGTGAGTGGCTCTGGAACTCATTCCCCCTCTTGGGCTGAAATAGCCTGAGTCTCTTGACCTTTAATGCATCGTCATCTTGGAAGACAAAAATGCGGTAAGGGACAGTGTTTGTGGGCACATAAGGAATGTTTGGACTGATTAACTTTAACTAGAATCTCCTTCCTTAGAGGTTTTTAAGGTCAGGCTTGACAAAGCCCTGGCTGGGATGATTTAACTGGGAATTGGTCCTGCTTCGAGCAGGGGGTTGGACTAGATGACCTTCAGGGGTCCCTTCCAACCCTGATATTCTATGATTCTATGAACTAGAGGGATGAGGATAAGCTCCTGGATTTGTGGTTACCTGAAACATATGAAACATTGAATGTGCCTTGAGCACTGGTCTGGCTTTTTTAAAATGTCTCATTGTAATGAATAAACAAATAAATGACCTCGATTATGGCTGCCCCTTGCATAGCTGTGCAGACGGAAAGGAGGGTAAAGGACAAGGTTTCTTGTAACATCTCACTGCCTTGGTTCTCATGCAGGGCCGGCCACGCTATGCTTCTAATTGTATTGAATATAATTTCAACATTTAAAACAATAGGCCAGATCCCTCGGCCAGTGTAATGGACACAGCTTCGCTGAAGTCAACGAGCAATAGCACTTCACACCATTTGGGGAGGTGACCTGGTTGTTTTTATGCATATAAATAACTGGATCACAACCTACCAAAATCCAAAACAGGAGACAAATGATCGAGGTGTGGGACCTCGGTAAAATAAAACAAGAATGATGGAGAGGGGCTATCAGTGGCAGTAATATGTACATTGCCCAAAAGTTAACTACCTGATGTGTCGTCTTATTTCATTTTAAAGATGAATGCTCCTATATTGTAGTGGTCTTACAACTGCATTACAATAGTATGTATACATATTTAATTATAGGAACATTCCTACTAGGTTTATCGCATTGGGGTCTGCTCCTCTTTCCAAAAATTTCAGACATATTTCTTTAATCTCGTGTGCTTGTTCACAGGCTTGTAGGAATACTGGCTTCCCATTGATAGTACAGTTGTTAACATCTGCGCCGCATTCTAAAGCGATCTGAACGCAGCGGCAGTGCCGTTTCGTAGGTAAAATACAGTAAAACAAAACACCTGCAACAAAAAACAAAATGGCTGTTAAGCAACAAATGTTAGGGGGCTGAATCAAATAGCAGGAAAGGCCCTGATTCAGGAATCTGATCTGCACAGACAGACCCCTTGAACCAGTATAGTGACCCATTCATTTCTCAGGCATAAGGGCCTGTCCATTTGAATCAGATTACAGGATGAAGACTTCAGAAATTAACACATGAAATGATATTTGGGATTTCAACAGGACCGCTTGTGGAGTAAAGCAATATTCAATGAGAGTGAGGGTATCAGAATCTGATCCTTAATAGTTAGGCACATATAAAACTAACTATTGGAGAGAGCTACCAAAATGCCTGATCCAGCAAAAATGTCCTCACTTTCAGCACCACAAAAACTCTGAAGAAAAATGGCTTTGTTGGGTTGTATGTGTAGTGAACACCCACCTGGGGCTGAACCTTAGGATGTTCAGTACCAAACCACAGACCTTTGCTACATGAGCCAAAGAACAGTCCTGCAGCAGAAGACTCTTACCCATTATGCTGACCAGCCTCTAGAGGGGGACATAATACACATAGCTAGCACGTGATATGTGGTGAGAAAGCAGGACTGCAATTTGTGTTGATTCTGGCTCCAAAGAAACTTTTTCTGTCTAATATGATTAAGAGGGACTCTTTTTACCTTTTCCTTCATTATCAACTATGGTCATGTCTGCCTCGGCCTTTGCTAGTTTATCCAAGGCTAAGTCGTGGCCTAGCTCAGCTGCTTTCATTGCAGGAGTGCGTCCCATTCGGTCTTGAACATCTGGATGAGCTCCTTGCTCCAGCAGGAAGTTGCACATGTCTATGTCATTTGCGATGCATGCCAAATGAAGGGCACTATAACCATCAACAGGCTCTGTGAAATTAATGAGTTCTGGGAATCCAAGTTTGGTCAGCTTCTCTATCTGCCTCTTGTCCTTTTGGCGAACACATTGGAGAACTTTGTAGATCTGCAAATCTTCAAGTCTTTTGTCCGTCAAAGACATCCTTGATCAACTGAAGCTAGTCTTCTTCAAAGGGAAGGCTTTCTGGACAAAAAAAACACAAAACACACGTGTGAAGTTATTCTCCTTACAAGCCATAATGGGTTTTGATCCAAATCGCATTTATGTCAGTTAAAGTTTTTCATTTTGACTTCAGAGGTCACTGAGCAGCCTCATAATTCTTGATTTTATATGGGCATATATATAATTCGAACCGTGGCCACTGAGAGCTGCGGGGGGGCGTGCTTGCAGATGTCAATGTAAACAAAATGTCTTGCATCCCGCCAGCGGATTACCCTGATGGGCTGCATGCCAAAGGTTGCCAACCCCTGTACCAGCCTATAATTTAACGAACTACCTTTCCAGAGAATGTGGAATCTAAATATCACAAGGAATTAGATTATTATTTATTTATATTTGTATTACCATAGCTCTCAGCAGCCCCAGTCACAGACCAGGTCCCCATTGTCCTAGGTGCTGCACAAACACGAACAATAAGATATTCCCTGACCCAGAGAGTTTACAATCTAAGTGACAACCTGTTTAGGCAAATACTTGGATTGAAATGTTAAATTCTATTCTGTGTCGGTTCTTATACCATCCTTGTTACCATCGCATCCACACACCACCTGGTAGCATCCTAAGCAAAAAGACTAACGTCAGTCATGTGTGGTTTGTCATTTCATCCTCAGACATTTGATGATTCTGTCAAAGGGAATAAATGCAGTCACTTGTAACAGACAATCATGAATGTCTTGTATACTGATGCGAGCTGCATCCCACGGTTCTCGCCCCAGACGGAAGAGAACTCAGAGGTGCTCTCCATTCCAGATCACCAGGGAAGCTGTAACCCACAAGGGAGTTCAACTTGGAATGTTAACAAGCCACTGGGAGCAGAGACTCTACATAGCAAGTCAGCACGGGGGCCTGGCCGCTACGGGCAAAGGGGCGTGAGCTCTGCAGGGCTGGGGTGTCTGAAGATGCTAAGGGGAACAGGAGGAAGCCCCTTGTAATTTGCAGTATGAATTCTTTGCCTGTAGTCATGTTCCGTTGCCTGCTGGCAGAGGATGCTAGGGAAGACTGGATTCACTTTTTAAAAATCTGACATGTTTTAGTGGAGCCCTTCTTCTCCACCCACCTTGTTGTTGATTTGCATTGCGGTAGTGCTTCGAGACTCTGGTCACTCTTCCCCCCTCCCGCCGCAAAAAAACACGTACAACTATCTTATTACAAGGCACAATTGTGCCTGGCCCTGTGCTGGTGGCTGGGTGGGGGGAGTGGGTGCGCAAAGAGTCCTTCAGCTGCTTTGTGTGTCCCTACCTCCAAGCAACAGCCAGGCATGCTCACAGTCCCTGCTCCTTCTTAGTGCTCCAGAGGTAGAAGACATCCCAACATGGACAAGGAAGGGTGGGAAGGTTCCACCCCGGCCAGCATAAATGGCTCCTCACCAAAAGGAGAGCAGGCTGTAACACCCAAAGGGTGATGAAGTGAGCTGTAGCTCACGAAAGCTCATGCTCAAATAAATTGGTTAGTCTCTAAGGTGCCACAAGAACTCCTTTTCGTTTTGCGAATACAGACTAACACGGCTGTTCCTCTGAAACCCAAAGGGATGGGGCAGGTTGTGCATTCCCCATGTGCGCTGGTGAGCTTTGGGAGGCACAATCCCTCCAAGAGCTCCCCTCTGGGGCCATGAGACTCCCCAAGTGAGCAGTGCCAACTGGCTCTGTCATTAGCTGTACCCTCAGGCTATGAGATCTTCTATCAAATGATGTTCAGGAAACCCAAAGTTATCCCAGGAGAGAAGTGGAAAGAGGAAGGACGTACAAAGCTCCTTGCTCTCTGGAAGAAGTGCAAAAATCCTTCATTGTTCTATCTAAGACCTAGAGACAAGAGTACGGGCCAAGTTGCCACCCAGCTGGTGATAACTGGCATAGCACCACAGAAGTCAAAAGAGCTACACTGACTGATTTACACCAGCTGAAGATCGGATGATCTTGATCAGAAGGGCAACAAAAATGATTAGGGGTCTGGAACACATGAGTTATGAGGAGAGGCTGAGGGAACTGGGATTGTTTAGTCTGCAGAAGAGAAGAATGAGGGGGGATTTGATAGCTGCTTTCAACTACCTGAGAGGTGGTTCGAGAGGATGGTTCTAGACTATTCTCAGTGGTAGAAGAGGACAGGACAAGGAATAATGGTCTCAAGTTGCAGTGGGGGAGGTTTAGGTTGGATATTAGGAAAAACTTTTTCACTAGGAGGGTGGTGAAACACTGGAATGCGTTACCTAGGGAGGTGGTAGAATCTCCTTCCTTAGAGGTTTTTAAGGTCAGGCTTGACAAAGCCCTGGCTGGGATGATTTAATTGGGGATTGGTCCTGCTTTGAGCAGGGGGTTGGACTAGATGACCTCCTGAGGTCCCTTCCAACCCTCATATTCTATGATTCTATGATTTATATAGTCAAGGTTGTTGCTTTTATGTACAAATCTGAATGCGATGCAGTACTTGTCAGTGATGCATTTAGGAGCAAGTCTTACTTTTTCTTCCCTTCCATATCCCACATAAAAGCCTAAAGACAAACTTTAGGTTCCTTCTCACTGGAATGGGGACAGTTAGGCCATAGGTTTCCCACGTAGGGGCAGTGTCTCAATTTAGAAAAATACGTATTTGCCAGCCACATGTAGTACCCATACATAACAGGGGCCCCTTATGCCTTTGAATTTGAATTGCCCCTTATGTCTTTGAAAATCCCCCCCACTGTGGCCTTCTCAAAGGCCATTATCAACTATAAAAAAAATATCACACTGCTGCCAGATTTTTTCCCCTGTTATTGTTACCAGCAACACCTACTGCACAATCCTGCAAACACCTACATATGCACTGTTGCTTTACTCACAAGCGTAGTCTCAAGGATTACAATGAGTCTTTGCAAGAGCAAGGCCTTAAGAGTCAAAAAAAGAGAAATGTTTTTTCCTCTTTTTGTTTAGTGTGTGCATGTGACAGCACTTTGTGTATATTGTTGGCTCCTTGCCCACTGTTTGTGTGGGAGACACACCCAGCAACAACAACAAAAAGAAACACTTAAAAAAACAACAACCCTGGAAAATGGAAAACCACAAAAATTGGCAGAGAAATACAGGGACAGGTGCAGTCACTGAAACTACTTTTATTCATTTTCTAAAAGCTAAATTTCAAGTTGACAATGTCCCTTTTAACAATGACTGTTCACAAATCAGTAAACAAAGTTATCAGACTTTTTATTTTAAAAAAATAAGCATTTAAAAATGTGTAATTAGTTTACACATTGACTGTATCTAAGCATGAACCTTATAGTGTGACATAAAAGAACGTAACATGGTAACAGTACTCCCATGCATTTATTGCTTTATACAAATAAAGACTCCATTTGACTCATGTTTAATGGGACCTGAGCAATGACGTCTGATGAAAATTTATCCCAGGACAGCAAATAACTACAAGGCTCCAGTTAAGGCTCAGATGGATATCCCCTTCCCTTCTACACCTTTTAGTTTTAAACTGTATGTCACTTCTCAAAAAATGTTCTGTTCGGACAGAGATACACTGTATAGTGTAGAGCGAATGGACACTGCAGGGACTTCACACCGGACTCACGCACCCACCTAGAAAATTAAAAATCAGCGCCACGGTCCGTTTCTAATTTGTAATTGCTAAATCTCCAATTCCTATTCTGAGCTCCTCCTGGGTGGACCTCCATGGAAGGTAGAGGGGTTCCACCCTGGTGCAAGGATCTGCCTGGGCAGATCCACTGCACAAGGGAGGTGCAAGGGCCAATCCCGAGGGCCACGTGGCGAGGCCTGCGGCTAAGCGGGCCTTGAAGCCAAAGAGCGGGGGCTTAATGTATCCATTCTTCTGCCCTGGCACGCCACATCTAGGACGATTAATGAGAAATACATTCACACAGCAATGGGATCACATCCCTCTCCAACTGACATGCTCCTCCCTAACTCTAACGAAGGGTTCGGAGAAGGCAGCAGAGCCGGCAAAGCATGGGCCGGCCCGGGGGCCTCCCTCCTGCACAGGCCAGGGCCCAGTGGCGCGCCGGCCGGCGTCCGTATGTCCAGGCTTTGGGGACAGCCACCGCGGCACCTCTACCGCGCCTCTCCTCTAGGGTGACCAGATGTCCCGATTTGGGGGGTCTTTTTCTTATATAGGCTCCTAGTACCCCCGGTCCCGATTTTTTTCACACTTACTGTCTGGTCACCCCAGTCTCCCCCTCGAAGGACTTGGCCAGAGTTCCCAACAGCGATGCACAAGGATCCCCTCCCCCGCCCCCTTCACCCAGTGCTAAAATGCAGCCACCTCTGGGGGCGGGCCAGCGCACTGGAGCTGCACCCCCCACTCCTGCACGAGGGCTCGGGAGAGAGGCGCGCGGGGGGGGGGGGTGGATTCCTGCCCCACGTGCACTGGGGGAGGTCCCTGCGCGTGCTCCCTTGTGACGTGCTGGAGCGAGGGGCGGGGCGGACCCAGCACGAGCCCCGGACTCACCTCCCGGCGGGGAGCAGCCACCCGGGCGGCACGGCTCAGGCGCGCGTGCGCGCTGGAGGGGCTGCGGCGCGCCCCGAGACAGGCCGCGCGAGGGACGCTGCTACCCCGCAGCTCCCATAGCAACCGGCAGCCCCGCCCGCACATGCGTCATAATGCCAGGCTTGCCCCGCCCCCGCGCGGGGCGGCCCCGCCTGGCGCGCGCTGCAGCTGCGGGGTGGGGTGACTCCAGCCTCTGTGGGCAGCTGCTCCCCCATCCCCGCTTCCCTGCGCTCCGCCGGGCCCTGCGCCTCATTCCCCCCTTCTGGGCCCCAGTTCCCTGCACCCCCTCTCCTAGTCTGCAGCCCGGCTCCTTGCCCCCCTCATCCGCACCCCCCCCCGTTCCCTGCACGTCTTCCCCGCAATGTGCATGATCCCCCCCCCCCCGTTCCCTGTGCCCCCCTCGTCCGCCTGCCTAACTCCTCCTGAAACCACAGGGAAGATTTGCACTCACCATGGTTTGGGATGTTGCTCCTCTCTGCCGAGGGCCAAGGTGGGGCCCAGGTTGCTGCAAAGTTTTAGAAAGTGGAGGGGGGGAAGACCAGTAGAGCCACCTTTCCCCCTGTGCAGTCCCCTGGAAAGGAGAGCCCCTTAAGGTACCCGTACACGAAATGTGGTACACTGTGGTTCTCCGAGTCCTGCAATTCACCATGCAAAATGCATTGCAAGTCACCGCTCCTCTGAGCAACAGGCTTCCCCTAACCCCCACCCCATTTCCGCTGTTGATTTGTGCAGGCGAGTTGGGTCTTAACATCCCTGTGTAGCAACACTAGGGTAGCAATGCTCCGAATGTGAGAGCGCATTCGGATCTCCTCGCATTTCTGTCTTTAGAGCGCATGGTCAGAAGAAGAAGTGAATGAAATGTGTGTCTAACCCATGCCCAAAATTCCACAGCTGCTCCCGGAGGATTTCATGTGGCTGTGATGTTTTGGGGATCACCCAGACCAATAACCTTGGTTTTCTTAATGCATGCTGCTGTGGCTCAGTACTCTGACACCAGTAGCCAGCCTAAAAGCATAAGAGTCACCCTGACTGCTCCAGCCTAATTACTCCTTGCAGGGTAAAACCTTTATACTTTTAGGTTGTCTGCTGATGTCAGGGCTCTGCAGTATAGTATAGTATAAAGATGCCCAAGGTTACAGGGCAGGTGGTGACAGAACCCCTTAGTGGCCTGGGTAATCTCCAAAATGTGACAGCCATATAAAATCCTCAAGGGGCAGCATCGCTGAAAATCCCACTTGGTGTGCATTCGAACGAGATATTTTGGGGAAAGATTTTGAAAAAAAGTGTAAGAGACTTGAAGCACAAAGCCCTTTTAAAAATCTTGTGCTCTTAAGTCACTTAGAAGGTTTTGAAAATTCCACCCTTTTTGATGAGTGAGCTATTTCTTTTATGTCCATTTTGATCAGTGTCTGATTTCAACATCTGGGCCCAGACTCTGCCTGCTAATCTGCACTCAACTCCCACTGAGTTCAACAGGAGCTTCATGGACACCGGTTGTTGGCAGGATCAGACCCTTGCATTTAACATCAGTTTGGTTATCATAATCAGGCAAGTTATCCACTTCTTATTCAAGACAACTGTCAAAACATCCCCTCTAAAACACTTTCAGAACCAACTGAAGCATAAGGCCAAACCCTTGCTATGTATTAGAGCTGTCAATTAATCGCAGTTTTAATTGCACTGTTGAACAATAGAATACCAATTGCAATTTATTAAATATTTTGGATGTTTTTCTACATTTTCAAATATACTTATTTCAATTACAACACAGAATACAAAGTGTACAGAGCTCACTTTATATTTTTTTAATTACAAATATCTGCACTGTAAAAATGATAAAATAAATAATATATTTATATAAAAATAAATGGTATATTTCAATTCACCTCATACAAGTACTGTTGTGCAATCTCTTTATCATGAAAGTGCAACTTACAAATGTAAATTTTTTTGTTACATAACTGCACTCAAAAACAAAACAATGTAAAACTTTAGAGCCTACAAGTCCACTCAGTCCTACTTCTTGTTCAGCCAATCCTTAAGACAAACAAGCTTGTTTACATTTAGGGGAGATAATGCTGCCCACTTCTTATTTACAACGTCACCTGAAAGTGAGAACAGGCATTTGCATGGCACTGTTGTAGCCGGCATTGCAAGGTATTTACATTCCATATATGCTAAACATTTGTATACCCCTTCATGCTTTGGCCACCATTCCAGAGGATATGTTTCCATGCTGATGATACTCATTAAAAAAAAATGAGTTAATTAAATTTGTGACTGAACTTCTTGGGGGAGAATTGTATGTCTCCTGCTCTGTTTTACCCACATTCTGCCATATATTTCATGTTATGGCAGTCTCAGATGTTGACCCAGCACATATTGTTCGATTTAAGAACACTTTTACTGCAGATTTGACAAAACGCAAACGAGGTACCAATGTGAGATTTCTAAAGATAGCTACAGCACTCAATCCAAGGTTTAAGAATCTGAAGTGCCTTCCAAAATCTGAGAGGGATGGGGTGTGGAGCATGCTTTCAGAAGTCTTAAGAGAGCAAAACTCCAATGCAGAAACTACAGAACCCAAACCATGGGTTGAGTGCAGTTATATTTTGTACATAATTCTACATTTCTAAGTTCAACTTTCATGATAAAGAAATTGCACTGCAGTACTTGTATTAGGTGAACTGAAAAATGCTACTTCTTTTGTTCCTTTTTTTACAGTGCAAATATTTGTAATAAAAAATAAATATAAAGTGAGCGCTGTGCACTTTGTATTCTGTGTTGTAATTGAAATCAATATATTTGAAAATGTAGAAAACATCCAAAATATTTAAATAAATGGTATTCTATTATTGTTTAACAGCGTGATTAATCGTGATTAATTTTTTTAGTCTCTTGACAGTCCTACTATGTATCAAATATCTTCATCAAAATGGGCAGCGGTGCATAGGCAGATCCAGGTCCAAAAGAAGAGACATCCTGCTGCCACAAAACAGGATGGCTCCTATTGCTTCATCTCAGTATGTGAGCTCTTTACTGCTTCTCCTAACAGGAGTGCCATGTGCATGGTAGCTGCTTCCAGCTAGCACTTGCTTATGGTGGGAACCTGAGTTAGCCAGACTGTGGGCCAGTTATTACTTTAGATCAGCTGATCATTTCTGCTTTGGCAGAGGTACAAGCCCCATTGCATTAGGCTGGTGTCACAGTCATTGTGCTTTTGTATGGCAGGACAAAATGTTGTCTGCTCACCCATACTGTTGCAGCGATTGCTGTATTTTTGGGCCTTCCGAAAGCAAGACTTACACTAATATGGGTGGCAAAATTCTATGCTGAGGAACTTTTGCAAATATTTCTTTTTCATTTTTGGTTTTTAAAATAGACAATTCAAGATGGGAAATGCCAACCTGATTAATTTGAAATGTAGTTTAATGCCAAAATACAGGAGATCCAATTAAGCACACACACACACACACGCGCACAAATAAGAATGATACCTTCAAATTAATACATTATGGGAACTTCTGAGATTTGTATTCTATTCTAAGTGGGGCATAACCTCCTTCTATAGTGACTGCCTCATTCCCTCAGACCATGCAGTCTGATTGCCCTATATCCTGTCATGCTCTTGAGAATGATGCTGGGGACTCTTGATTCTAAGGGGAAAATATCCCTTTTCAGCAGCTGTGGAATAGAAAAATTAGGTATTTCACAGCATCTTTACCCCAAGAGTGAAGTCTGTCTCTGCCTAGACAATTGCCACTATGACATAAGGGAACTGCCCTGACCACACTCCAAGACAGGACTAGATCAAAATCCTGCATGACAAATTCTCAGAAACATAAGCCGTCAGAATCGAGATCCCTGAATAGAAAAAAGTCATCAGAAAGAATTATACAGAAATTGGAGCCTGACACCACTGGGTTTGTTGGCGTACCATTAAAAACAACTAAATATCAAGGCTCTAAAATTGAGATACCCATCAAAATGCATTCACAGGAAAATGTCTAAGGAAGTTTCTTTTTAATGAAGCTGGATTTGAATGAACAGCCCATGTTTACAGATGAAAGCAAATGTTGACATTAAAGAATCATCATGTTTTCCATAACTGCCCCTCCCATTTCTAATAAGGTAGCACAGAATGACATATACTGACTCATAACAGTGAAATAGAAAATGGAGAATTATTAATGGTAAGATTAAGAGCTTTGATAGTGATGTTTTTAATGATTTGTAATTATGTATAGTGAGGGAGTACAGATGAGATAAAACTTAGGCCAAGTCTTTGCTGGTATAAATGTGGCTTTGCCAATTCTTCTTTTACATAGATTTGCAACTCTGCTTAAAATGTTATTGCTGAGAGAACAAAGGTAACATGTCGTGTTGGAAGATGTAAGTAAAAGATACACAAATGTGTAATGATAAATTTAAAAAAAAAACCCTTTTCCTGGGAAGGCCCTGGGCAGGGTGACACAAAAACAACATGAGCTAGAAACTGCAAACTCAGCACAAAGTATCTAGAAGTTGGGTAACTGAAGCTTGTGCATGCATAATATATGGGTTACCTAAAATCCAAACAGTTGACATGCTAAAACCACTTGGATAAAGATTAAGTAATCTGTAATGTGGAAATATATAAATGACCTAACTGAACATGGGCCCAAACTTAAGAGACACTGGATCAGAAAACTGAAGAATGGGACTGCCGGACCAGGCCAAGAGATCATAGAGGGTGAAACTATCATGGCAAAATGTGGCAACTTGGACCCATTTACCAGTTCTGTCTTGTCTGTTATTATATGTCTGGCATAAATGTGTCTCCAGACACTATAAGTGACAATAATTCCTAAAGGATGACCCAACACTCTCACAAATCTTGGGGGACAGGCCAGTCCTTGCCTACAGACAGACCCGCAACCTGAAGCAAATACTCACCAACAACCACATACCACACAACAGAACCACTAACCCAGGAACTTATCCTTGCAACAAAGCCCGTTGCCAATTGTGCCCACATATCTATTCAGGGGACACCATCACAGGGCCTAATAACATCAGCCACACTATCAGAGGCTCGTTCACCTGCACATCCACCAATGTGATATATGCCATCATGTGCCAGCAATGCCCCTCTGCCATTTACATTGGTCAAACTGGACAGTCTCTACGTAAAAGAATAAATGGACACAAATCAGATGTCAAGAATTCTAACATTCATAAACCAGTCGGAGAACACTTCAATCTCTCTGGTCACGCAATCACAGACATGAAGGTCGCTATCTTAAAACAAAAAAACTTCAAATCCAGACTCCAGCGAGAAACTGCTGAATTGGAATTCATTTGCAAATTGGATACTATTAATTTAGGCTTAAATAGAGACTGGGAGTGGCTAAGTCATTATGCAAGGTAGCCTATTTCCCCTTGTTTTTTCCTACCCCCCCCCCCCCAGATGTTCTGGTTTAACTTGGATTTAAACTTGGAGAGTGGTCAGTTTGGATGAGCTATTACCAGCAGGAGAGTGAGTTTGTGTGTGTATGGGGGGGGGGGGGTGTGAGAAAACCTGGATTTGTGCTGGAAATGGCCCACCTTGATTATCATGCACATTGTAGGGAGAGTGGTCACTTTGGATGAGCTATTACCAGCAGGATAGTGAGTTTGTGTGTGTGGTTTTTGGGAGGGGGGTGAGGGGGTGAGAGAACCTGGATTTGTGCAGGAAATGGCCCAACTTGATTATCATGCACATTGTGTAAAGAGTTGTCACTTTGG